ATCCACATCCTGATCTTGATCTATATTTTCCTGCTGATCTCAATCACCCTTCTTAGGTCGATATTGATGCATCTCATCGTGCCGAACTTAATCCTCTTCCTCATGTCTATCTCATTCCCTCTCCTCGTGGTGATATCGATGTTCCCCGCCGTGCCGATCTGGAACGTCCTCGTCCTCCTGAAGATCTTGATCCTCCTCCTCGTGCCGATCTTGATCTTCCTCCTCGTGCCGACCTTGGTCCTCCTTCTCATACCGGTCTCTATCCTCCTCGCGGCGATCTTGATCCACCTCCTCATGCCGATCCTGATCCCATCCTGGTGCTGATCTTGATGATCAGCTTGATGATGATGATGACGGTGATGATCTTGGTCCACCTCCTCGTGCCGATCTTGGTTCTTGTCCCCGTGTTGATCTTGATCTTCAACTCCCGTCGATCTGGTTTCTTCCTTTCTTGGCGATATTGACACTCTTTGAGTACATTTTGTACTCTTCGTGATGTTTCGCTGATTGCTAATGCGATCCCCGTTCGATCTATCAACCCAACAGCTCTCGATTTTCCACTTTTGCCGTTCTTTATCATCTCCTATGTGATCTTGATATTATCCCTCGTTAGATTTTGTTGCTTTCTTCCTTATACGCTTTCTCGTAAAGATCTTGATCCTCCTCCTCGTGCCGGTCTTGACCCTCCTCCTCGTGCCGATCTTGATCTTCCTCCTCCTCGTGCCGATCTTCACCCTCCTCCTCCTCGTGCCGATCCTGATCCTCCTCTTCGTGCCGGTCTTGATCCTCCTCCTCGTGCCGATCTTGATCCTCCTCCTCGTGCCGATCTTGGTCCTCCTCCTCGTGCCGATCTTGATCCCCCTCCTCGTGCCGATCTTCATCCTCCTCGCAGCGACCTTGATCCACCTCCTCGTGCCGATCTTGATCCTCTTCATAACGTCGACCTTAGTCCAGCTCCTCGTGGTGATGTTGATCTTTCTCGCCGTGCCAATCTGCATCCTCCTTCTGCTCATGACGATCTTGCCCCTTCTTTTCGATGATGATGATGATGATTTGGGGTTCGGGGCGCACCGACTACAATGGTGACATGGCGCCAATAAATTACTTTTTACTTGAAAGATGCATGAAAAAGCAAGGAGACAAGTGCGCATTCGATATCTGGCATGGACCTGTACGCCTTCAAGAAAATTAGAAATATTGACAGCCGCCCACCCAATTCGAGCCATCTCCTAAGATACCAGAGCGTGCACGGCGCACGAACCCCGGTTCAAATAGCGCATGCGCTCCAAAACGAGGTGGGCACAATCCTTCAACGCATGTACGGTGTAACGCTCCCACACCGAGGACATCGCGGTTGATCTCCTCACACAACAGGTACCGGTGAACTGCGTCTGCATGTCCTATTCTCAGGCGGCATAGGATCACTTCATCCCGCCTCACCTTACGACAGCTGGACGCCCATGGTCCAAACCGTGGCTTTGTTCCTCTCAGGTTGTTGGCAGTACGCACATCGCGAATAGCTTGCCACTGCTTGCATATGGATGCATTTGCTGCTACATATCGGTCTTGCCAGGGACTCTCATAGTAGGGGTGCCAGTTGCGTGTGCGGCACGCCTCGCTGCGGTATCAGCTACTTCATCACCCGATATGCCAGCGTGGTTCAGTATCCAGCAGAATACCACATGCTTCCCCCATCGGGAGAATGGGGTAAGGAGAGTCAAAATGTTCTGAACGATGTGATGTGACAAATCAAAATGGTGCCGATATCGATTCCCCTTCCTGAGATTTTGATCTACTGCTGATCTCGATCCATCTCCTCGCGGCGATCTTGATCCTCCTCCTTCTGCCTATCTTAATCCTGCTCCTCGTTCGGGTCTTGATCTTCGTCCTCGTGATGAAATTAATACTGCTATTCGCGTCTCGTGGTGGCCTTGATGCTCCTCACGCCAAACGTAATTACCTTCCTCATGCTGATTTTGGTCCACCTCCTCCTGATTATCTTGATTTTTCTCCCCGTGCCAATCTTGATACTCTTTCTCGTGTCGAGCTTGGTCCACCTCTTCGTTCCGATCTCGACCATCCTCCTTGCCCCAATCTTGGTCCACCTCCTCGTGCCGATCTTGATCCACCTTCTAGTGCTGATCCGGATGCATTACTTCGTTTCAGTCTAAGTCCACCTCCTCGTACCAGTCTTGGTCTTCATCCCCGTGCCGACCTTGATCCTCCTCCTCGTGCCGATCTTCTTTTTTCTCGCCGTGGCGATCTCCACCCTCTACAAGCAGACCTCGATGTCTTCGTAATGTCTGGTAGCCACAAGGCTGAGGATCGAGCTTTGATCGATTAACGTGCTTTGACCGATTAACTTAAATGCTCTTGGTCTTGTACTTTCGCTGCTCTCTATCATTCCTCAGGTGATCTTGATATTACCCCTCGTTGGATTTTGTTGCCTTTCTCGTGCCGTTCCAGACATTCATCCTCGTAAAGATCTTGATTCTTCTCCTCGTGCCGATCTTCGCAATCCTTCTAGTGGCAATCTTGATCATCCTCCTCGCGGTCATTTTGGTTCTCCTCCTCGTGCCGATCACGATCCTCAGCCTTGTGGCTATCTTGATCCTGCTTCTGGTGCTGATCTTGATCCCTTCCTCGTGCCCATCTTGATCCTGCTTCTGGTGCTGATCTTGATCCCTTCCTCGTGCCCATCTTGATCCTCCCACTCGTGTCGATCTTGATTCTCCTTACTGCGACGATGCTGATCCTCTTCTACTGCTGGTCTTGATTCCCTTCTCGTGCCGATATCAATTCTCCCCTGCGTGCCGATCTTGATTATCCTCCTCACTCCGATCTTAGCTATTGTTCTCGTGGTGACCTAGATGCTCCTCCTCGCGCCGGTCCTGCTTCTTGTCGTGGAGATCTCGACCCTCTTTGTGCACATTCTGATGTTCTTCGTCACGTGTTGCTTATTTCTCATGTGGCCCACGTCTGACCCATTTACGCACAGGCTCCACAGGCTCTTGACTCTCCACTTTTGCCATCCTTAACATTCCTGACTTCTTGTCGTGGCAATCTCTACGCTCTTTGCGTATATTTTGATCGCGTTGTCATGTTTTGTTGATTTTTCAAGTGGCCTACGTTTGATTCTCTACTTAAGGATCTTTCACTTCTGCCGTCTTTTATCATTCCCCATGTGATTGATCTTGATGCTATTCCTCGTGGGATTTCGTGGTCTTCCTCCTGCCTATCTTGAATTTATCCCTGTTGTAATCTTACCACTCCTCGTGCCAATCTCCATCCACTTCTTGGAAATAATCTTGATTTCCTCTTCGTGCCGATCTTGATCCTCCCTCTCGTGCCGATCTTGTTTCTTCTTGTGACGATTTCGACCCTCTTTGACCAAATCTCGATACTCTTAGTGATGCGTTGCTGATTGCTAGTGCGGTCCACCTTTGAACCACTTATTCAAAGGCTCTTGATCTCCACTTTGCCGTTCTTTATCATTCCTCATGTGACCTTGATAATATCTCGTTGGATTTTGTTGCTTTAATCGTGCTTATTCTGATATTCATACTCCTGAAGACTCCGATTCACCTCCTCATGCCGATCTTGGTTCTCTTCCTCGTGCCGATTCTTATCCCCCTCCTCGTGCCAATCTTGTTCCTCGTTCTTGCGGTGACCTTGATACTCCTCCTCGCGCCGATCTTGCTTCTTGATTGGAGTCCCCGACTCTCTTTGCGCGGATCTTGATACTTGATCATGATCATGTGTTGCTGATTCCTCATGCGGTTTGACACCTTTATGCACAGGCTCTTGACCTTCCACTTTTGATGTCCTTTAGTACTCCTCATGTAATCTTGATATTATCCCTCATGGGATATCGTTGCCTTCCGCCTGCTTATCCTGATATTTTTCCACCTTCTGATCGTGATCTATCTCTTCCTGCCGACCACAATCCTCCTCCTTGTACCGATCTTGATCCACTTCCTCGTGCCGATCTTGACACTCCTCTTCGTGTCCATATTGACCCTCCTAGCGCCAATCTTGACCCTCCTCCTGGTGCCAAACTTGTTACTCGTCCTTGTGATGAGCTTAATGCTCCTCCCTGCGCTCCGTGGTGACCTTGATACTCTAAATCCGGCGACCCTGATCCTCTTCGTCATGCAAATCTTCGTCCACCTCCTCGTAGCAATCTTGATTTTCCTCGCCGTACCAGTCTTGGTCCTCCCTCCCGTGCCGATCTTGATCCTTTTCGTCGTGCCTATCTAAATCCTCCTCCATGCGCCGATATTGTTTCTTCTTGTCGTGAGGACCTCCACTCTCCCTGCGTATATATAAATGCACTTCGTCATGTTTTGCTGATTTCTCAAGCAGTTCATGTTTGATCCGTTGGTTCGAAGGATCTTACACGTTTGCCGTCCTTTTTCATTGTTCATGTGATACTGATATTATCACTCGTGGGATTTCGTTGCCTGTCGCGTACTTATCTTGATATATCTCGGCACGCCGGTCTTGACCTTTTTTGTGTCGACAATGTTCCTGATTCTCACGCCGATGTGGATCCTCCTCCTTGTGCTTGACCTGATCCTCTCCTCGTGGTGAGCCTGACCGTCCTCCTCATGCCGATCTTCATCGTCCTCCTTGTATGATCTTAATCTTCCTCCTCGTGATGATCGTGTTTCTGGTTGTCGTGCCAATCTCGATCCATTGTAAGTTGATCTTAGTTTTCTTCATGCATTTCTGATTCCTTCTGCGGCCACGTACGACCCTCTTCCGCATGCGCCAATGGTCGTCGATTTCAACCGTTCTGGCTCCTATTCCTTATGTAATCTTGATTATGTACTGTCTTGACGATGTTGCCTTCCATCTTAACATTTCAGCCAGGCTGTTCTTGCTCCAAATTCCTCATGACATCTTGATCGCATTTCTCGTGCAAATTCTATTCCTTCCTTGTCCCTTTCTTCGTCCTCCTTCTTGTGCCACGTTTGGCCTTCTTTGCCGTGCCGATCTTTTTTTTAGTCATCCCGGGCACCAATTTCTGCCGATCTTTATTCCCTTCCTCGTGCCGGTGATGTTTCTCATTTCCGCCGATCCTCCTGCTCTTCCTAGAGTGATGTTGATCTTCTTCCCTGTCTTGACGATCTTGCTATCACATCTTGTCATCCCAGTGCTGTTTTTCTTGTTCCCGTCGCTCATGCGCCCTTGATGCTATTGATCGTGCGACTTCGACACCTTATTCGTGTTTACCTTAATTTTTCTTCTCCTCCTCCTTGTGTACAGCTTGATCGTCCTCACGTCAATCTTGAGCTTCCCCCTCGTGTCGGTATTCTTTTCCATCTTGATGACAGTGCGTAGCTTGGCACTCCTCGTGCCGGTCTCGGCGCACTTCCAAGTGCCGGTCTAGATCCCCTCATCGCGCTGCTCTTGATCCACCTCCTTCTCGTGCCGATCTTGCTATTCCTCCTCGTCTCGATCTTGGTCCTCTTTCTGGTGTCGATTTTGAAGCTCCTCCTTTGCCAGTCTGGATGTTCCCTCTTGTGCCGATCTTGATCCACCTGCTCGAGCCGATCTTGGTCCTCTTGCTCCTGGATAGTCAGTTAGTTAGTTATTGAGCTTTAAGGCCGCGCCAACTGCATCAGCTATCGGCGCCCCTGTCTTGTTGTTAAGAGACTATGTCAACAGAACTATAACCACAACTATGTCAGCAGATTATCATCAACGTCTCACTCAATGAGAAAGCTCATCATCTACGTACTAGAGCCCTGCAGCGTAGAAAACAAATGGCATACAGGCTGGCCCAACTTTCAATTGTCTAGGTCGGTAAATACAAAAGCTTAAAGTCAATGTGCCTGAAAAAGGCAAATACCGGTCGAAGATCGATCAACGGTGAATCACCCAACAGCCCGGCCGGGGAATGCGATTCAGATTAAGGCAACGGTTTCGCTCAATCTCGTAGTTCCGACACTCACCTAGAATGTGGGCCCTTGCTTCTGGTGATCTTCGTCCTCCTCTCCATACCAATCTTGCTTTTTCTTGTCGCGCTGATATCGACTCTTTTTGCGCCGATCTGAATAATTTTTTCACATCATCTTGATTTTTCATTCAATCAACATTTGACTTCCTTTACCCTAGGGCTCTTGACTTACCATTTTTCTTGTTTTGATGTCATTCTTCATGCGATCTTGATAATATGCATCGTGCAATTTTTTCGACATAATCTCACCTATGGTGACCTTCCCCCTCGCACCGAACTTTCTTTCTCCTCGTGCCGATCATGATCATCCCTCTTATGCGATCTTCATCTTCCTCCTCGTGCCGATCGTCTTTCTCGTTCTCGTGCCGATCTCGAACCTTTGTAAGTTGATCTTGTTTTTTCATGTGATCTTGATTCCTCATGTGGCCACGTACGACTTCTTCCTCATGCGCTTATGGTCGTCGATTTTACCATCCTAGGCCCCATGTATTAAGTGATCTTGATGTTATTCCTCGTGCTTCTTCGATGCCTACCCCGTGCCGATCTTGATCCTCACCACGGCGAATTGCTCCTCCTCCTGGTGACGATCTCGACCTTTCCCCTGTGCTTCTTTCTCATTAACTGGTGCTTAACTTAATGCTGATTCTGATCCTCTACCTAACGTAACCTTGATTATCTCCCTTGCCTTAATGACAGTGCTGTTCCGTCTTGATATTCTGGTCTTGTTCTTGTTCCCATGATCGTATTCCTCGTGCAAGTAGGACACCATCCCTGTGCGTTTTTGTATCCTCTTCGCGCCGACCTAGTTTCTCCTCCTCGTGCCGAAATAGTCTTCGGCCTTGTTTTGAGCCTGATCTTCTTCGTCGTGCCCATCTTGTTTCTCTTCGAGAGGCCGAACTTAAATTTCTGCCGACCTTGATTCTCTTCCTCGTGCCGGTGTTTCTCCTTAAGACGATCCCGATGCTTTTCGAAGAGTGATCTTGATTGTCCTTGTTTTAGAAATATTGCTATCTCATCTTGAGTTTCCACTGCTACCGTTCTTGCTACCATTGCTCATGATCGTGATCGCTTTCCATCAATCTTGATGTCATTCATCGCGTAAGTTCAACATCTTCCTCAGGGCCATCTTTATACTCCTCTTCCTCCTCCTTGTGCAGGGCTTGATCTTCCTTACGCCAATCTTGATCTTCCCCCGCATGTTGATATTAATCCTCCTCTCACTCGTCACGATCTGAATCCTTCTCCTCGTGTCCGTTTTGATGCCTTCCCTCGTTCCCATCTTGGTCCTCTTCCTCGTGCCGACGATGATCAGCTTCCCCATGTCGATCTCACTTCCCTCCTTGTGCCGACCTTCATGCTCCTTCTCGCGCCGAATTTGACCCTTATTCTCGTGACGATGTTATTATTCCTCAATGTGCCGATCTTGATGCACCTCATTGCCAATCTGGATGCCCTCGTGACGATCTTGATCCATCTCCTCGTGCTAATCCTGATCCCTTTCTTCGTGCCGATATAACTTCTAGTCGCGCCGACCTCGGCTCTCTTTGCGGTAATCTTGAGCATCCTCATCATGTATCTTGATTCTCCATGTGATCGACAAATCAGATGTTCTGCCCGAGCACTCTTCACTCACCATTTTTGTCATCCTTGATGTCATTAATGATGTGACCTTAACATCTTTCCTAGTGCGATTTCGCTGACATCTAATTTCCCGTCTTGTTTCTGCTTTTCGTGCCGAACTGAAATCTTTGTAAGCCAATCTTGATCTCCTTCATGTGATCTTGATTTCGCACGTGGCCGCGTACGACGCCCATCGTCATGCCCCTATGGCCGACGATTTCTATCGTTCTGGGCCCCTTGCGTGATCTGGATCCCATTCTTCGTGCTTCTCCGATGCCTGCCGCGTGTTCATCTTCACCTCATCATCATGGCAAGTTGATCTTCCTCCTGGTGTAAATCTTGATCTTTCTCCTCATGGTTCTTTCTCCTCGTAGGGTACTTGGCTCTTTGCTGATCCTGATCATCTTCCTCATGTGATCGTAACGACCTCCTTTGTCTTAACAATGTCGCCGTCCCATCTTCATATTCCAGTGTTCTCGGGCCGACCCCAGTCATCTTTCTTGTGCCGATCTTGTTTGTGGTCAGATAGTTAGTGGGTTTTAAGGACGCTTCAACAGCAATGACTTTGGCCAAGGTATCTAAGGTACTCAAAGGCTGAGGTATTTGGCTAAGGTATCAGCCCGTTCGTTTCAGGATATTTTTGGGCGTGCCAGGTACTCAGGCACCAACGACACATGTCTGACCTTGCTCTAAGGTAAGCAGTGGATGCAGTATTTCATCAACGATTTTGAGCTGCTGTTTGGCTTGTTGTACAGTTACCAGAGGCCTCCTGAGTGCTCTCCTCGTGGTTGTTTCTCCTTGCCGTGCTGAGTCCAGCTTTTTGCCGATCCTCGTCCTCCTTGTGCTGATCTTGATCTACCTCCTCATGCTGATCTTGATCTACCTCCTCGTGCTGATCTTGATCCCCCTCCTCGTACCAATCTTGATCCACCTCTTCGTGCTCATCTGGATCCACCTCCTCGCGCTAATGTTGATCCACCTTCTCGTGCCGATCTTGATCCAACTCCTCGTGCCCATCTTGATCCACCTACTCGTGCCCATCTTGATCCACCTCCTCGTGCTCATCTGGATCCTCTAGTCGCACTAATGTTGATCCACCTTCTAGTGCCGATCTTGATCCACCTCCTCGTGCCGATCTTGATCCACCTCCTCGTGCTGGTCTTGGTCCACCTCCTCGTGCCGATCTTGACCTCCTCGTGCCGATCTTGATCCACCTCCCCGCGCTCTTCTGGATCCATCTCGTCGTACTAATTTTGATCCACCTCCTCGTGCCGATCTTGATCCACCTCCTCGTGCCGATCTTGATCCACCTCCTCGTGCTGGTCTTGGTCCACCTCCTCGTGCCGATCTTGACCTCCTCGTGCCGATGTTGATCCACCTCCTCGCGCTCTTCTGGATCCCTCTCGTCGTACTAATGTTGATCCACCTCCTCGTGCCGATCTTGATCCACCTCCTCGTGCTGATATTGATCCACCTCCTCGTGCTGGTCTTGGTCCACCTCCTCGTGCCGATCTTGACCTCCTCGTGCCGATCTTGATCCACCTCCTCGCGCTCTTCTGGGTCCATCTCGTCGCACTAATGTTGATCCACCTCCTCGTGCCGATCTTGATCCACCTCCTCGTGCTGATCTTGATCCACCTCCTCGTGCTGGTCTTGGTCCACCTCCTCGTGTCGATCTTGACCTCCTCGTGCCGATCTTGACCTCCTCGTGCCGATCTTGATCCACCTCCTCGTGCCGATCTTGACCCACCGTCCCGTGCATCTCTTGATCCACCTCCTCGTGCCGATCTTGATCCTCCGCCTCGTGCATCTCTTGATCCACCTCGTCGTGCCGATCTTGATCCACCTCCTCGTGCCGATCGTGATCCGCCGCCCCGTGCATCTCTTGATTCACCTCCTCGTGCCGATCTTGAACCACTTCCTCGTGCCGATCTTGATCCACCTCTTCGTGTCGATCTTGATCCACCTCCTCGCGCTCTTCTGGATCCATCTCGTCGTACTAATGTTGATCCACCTCCTCGTGCCGATCTTGATCCACCTCCTCGTGCTGATATTGATCCACCTCCTCGTGCTGGTCTTGGTCCACCTCCTCGTGCCGACCTTGATCCACCTCCTCGCGCTCTTCTGGATCCATCTCGTCGTACTAATGTTGATCCACCTCCTCGTGCCGATCTTGATCCACCTCCTCGTGCTGATCTTGATCCACCTCCTCGTGCTGGTCTTGGTCCACCTCCTCGTGGCGATCTTGACCCACCGGCCCGTGCATCTCTTGATCCACCTCCTCGTGCCGATCTTGATCCACCGCCCCGTGCATATCTTGATCCACCTCCTCGTGCCGATCTTGATCTACCTCGTCGTGCCGATCAAGATCCACCGCCCCGTGCATCTCTTGATCCACCTCCTCGTGCCCATCTTGAACCACTTCCTCGTGCCGATCTTGATCCACCTCCTCGTGCCGATTTTGATTCCCTGCGCCAAGCCCATCATGTTTTTCCTTGTTGTGACGAGCGTCATTTTGTGCTGATCCTGCTTCTCCTCTCACGCCATTTTGACGATCTTTGCCTTATGTTTCTGCGTAATCTTAACTTTCTTCTATGTTCGAGATCAATATTCTTCCTCGTGCAATCACAGTATTTCTTCCCCAGTAGGAAGACCATGTTTAATGCAGCCAGACGATGCCTTTCAGGACCATCGCTCCCCCTCCTCTGGAAGCGACTGCCCCAGCACTTTCTAGCAGCTTGATACGCACATAAGGCTTAGTAAGCATAAAACGCAGCCCTCCGACGCATCAAAATCGTATGAAAAGATTGGGTTACAGAGTCTCAAAATGTAAAAAAAAAACAGGTCTAGGAATCGCCGAGGCGTTGTCCAGCATGGTTGAAATGAACTCCACTTCGGATGGCCACGTTTACTCCACCTCCCATTCCTGGTTAAAATCCTGGGTACACTACCACCATCGCCGCGGGGTTTGGTTCTGCTTTTCGCACCATTCTCGAACCCTCACGCCTTTTTTGTTCATCATCACTGTGCATCACCGCATCCCCACATCACCGTGCACCGTGCACCACCTCATCATCATCATCATCGTCACCGTCCCACCTTATAATCACCTTGCGATCTTCATCTCATTCATCATCTGAGCCAATACCTCTTCTCTGTGCGATCTTGATCGTGTCCCTCTTGTAGGCCTAATACCTTTCCTCATGCGATGTGTTGCTTTTCCAATCTTCCCGCTATGCTTATCCTTGCACACACAATCTCGACCTTATTCATCGTGAAACTTCCGATTTCTTCCTCGCACCGCTTTTCATATTCTTTTTTTGTGTCGAAATTGATCTCGTTCCTACCGACCCTACCCCTCCTTGTGCCGATCCTGATCCTCGCGTACCCTTGATTCTTCGTGTGATGCCCGTGCGGCCGGTTTTCTGAAGGAACCTTGATCTTCTACTTGCGCTGTGCTCCATCCTATTCCTGGTGCGAGCTTGTTATCTATCGTGCGAGGTTAATACTTTCGTCAAACCCGTCTTTATCTTCTCTTCTCGTGCTAGACTCAATCCTTCTCACCCTGTCCATTTTGAATTCCCTTGTGCCAATCTGGTTTCTTGTCACCAAACCGATCTTGACTTGTACGACCCTTTTCGTCGTGTCATCTTGATCTCAGCCTTCTCTGCTTCTTGCTATCATTCCTCGGGTGAGTCCTCATGCAAGCCTATTTTTCTCATGGAATATTAATATTCCATTCCTGCCTCTCTTTTCCCCATTGCACATGCGGTCTTCATATTATTTTACGTGCGAGATCGATCCTCTTTACTCCTCGTGTCAAACATCATCCCCTTCCACGTGCCAATCTTGGTCCTGCTCATGCCGATCTTGATCGTCCTCCTCGTGCCGATCTTAATCCTCCTCCTCCTCCTCCTCGTGCCGATTTTGCCTCATTTCCTGAGTTCGACTGCTACTCTTCCTCACGCAAGTTTCACAGTATTGCCCTTGACAGGTATGGCCCCCCGCCGGTGGTCGTGGCAACGCTAAAGGTTAGTTGACGTCAGCGGGCAGGACGGACCGTGCCAAGCAGTGCGGCAAATTAAATTTAGACCACCGGTTTCTGCCGTTAACTTGGAATTGCGCGATCGGATGGTAGGGTCCGCGGCTCGCCCAACAAACACTTCTTAGCGTACACTTTGGTCCCTGAAACCCATCCATTTAACAGGTTTGGATAACAGTTTTTTTAATCGCTTGGACATGTTCCTGTTCCTGGAGACGTGTAAAAAAACTCTTCGTTGTGGGAGTCACAATTTTCTTGCTACTGCTGAATCTCCCTTGTGCCGAATCTTCCATCTTGTGGTATTCTTATATACAGCCCCCTTCTTCCTGCGCGGTCGTTGCTCCTCCTCGTATACATTTTGACCTTCATGGCAACCCTTACGCTCCTCCCGATGCAAATTTTCATCTTGTTTCAAACGTTTGCTTTCAACATCAGACACAACTTCCTATTCCTCTACGCGCATATTTGTATCACCCTGTCCTTGATATGCACCATTCGGATGTCAAGCACCTGTACGGTTCTTGATCATCTTCCTTCTCATGATGCGTATCGCCTCCCCTTTTCCTCCCCGCATTAACGTGTTTTCTTTTGCGGATCTTCCCTCATTTACTAATACAGACCGTTTTCATTATCTTAAAGCCTTGACTATGAATCCTATGGTGTTATGGGGCTGATCCTACCATTTTCCTCAAATGATAGCACCATTCTTCGTTCTTTCTGTTCATTCTTCTGATGCTTACATTGACCATCACCAAGTGCTGATCTTCCTCGTGCGAATGTTGATCTCCGTCCTGGCAAAATCATCAGTCGTGCTACTCATGTTGGAGCTCCTTGTGCTCCCCTTTACCTTTGCGGCATTTTAATTGCGCATGATTTTAGCCAGCTTCGCGCTTATTTCGACATCTTTTGGGCACAGCGGTATCCTTCCCTGGGTGCTTCCTGATGACTTTGCTGGTGAACATTAAAGAGCATCCCTTTACTCGTACGCATCCATACTATTGATCTGCCGCTGGCGCAGTATTTCCCTCCTTTCCGAGTGGGTTCATTTTCCGGTATATACCTTCTTGTACACCTACTGTCCTTCGTTCTCTGGATATGCGTCCCGATTTGGCTATTAACCGCAACACGGGGTAAATATCGACCATGACACGATTCTCTACTCTTACAGCGTACGCTTTGATACTTCCGGCACACTTCACGGTTCTCGTGGTTATCTTAGTCGTGAGGAGATGGAAAACCCATCTCAGTCTCGACCCCACCATAATCCGCGCACATTCGTATGAAATATCTTGAATATTGCTTTGTGCATAGACATACCTGCCAGGCATCGCTCGTCTTCGTTTTTGCGCAGGTTTTCGGTCTTCTATCCGTCCACTTTTAACAGCGTATACTTCCGCGCTACCTTGATCATAACAATGTCCCGGCCTTCGATCAATCCTCCCTCTTCCAGTCTCCATTCACTTTGCATCTTGACAGATGTGAAGGAGCCGTTAAAATAATCTTCAAGCCGAGTATCTAATTCAACAAATGGAAACCTTGTGCTCAAATACAGACACCTAGCGCATGAGAGCCCAAATCTCGTGCAGATTTGGCGAAGTGGGTGCAGCTACCTGCCACTAAGAAAACTGCGTGCCGTGTGAGAGACACGAGACGGTGATACGAATTGGAGACATTCACTACCTTTTGTTCCAGACGTCCGTGTCGCTCCTGTTTTCTAGGCCCCAGTGTACCACTCTTCTGGCGTAATTTGCGGTTCTAAACCGCGCGCGCTCCTGCTGTGCGGGTTTCCAAATATCTTTTCCAATCTATTTTCGAAAGCTTGCTCGCGCCATTGATTCAGACTTGAAGCAATCACCAGTGCCATAATTTCACAGCTGAGAATGTGTACAGGCTGTCGCAATGGGTGCATCCCAGACCTTTATCATGAAACCTGAAGTCGTTTGAATCTTGATACCATCCGCGATTTGGAGCCCTTGCCAATGGATGACACTCAAGTGTCGGTTTCTACCACTTTGCTGGCCTCCAGTAAATTGTTTGCTGCTCTGCTTGACCCCGCCTGATCGCTCATGTGCGTTAAATGCACGCGATACTCTACTACGCAGGTTCCTGCGGTGCTGGGTCTGCTAAACGTGGCCCGACTGGACCGTTCCTTCCTAACGGCTGTCATATGCGCAAAAACTGGCCAGGTCTCAAAGACTCTTGGCCGCTCAGACTGAGCCACAGACACACACTGCCGGCTGTCAAACGCGGCCCTTGCCCTACCGCAACCGGTCACGGCTTGCCACGGACTGCTGTGTGCTCTGACAACCACCTTGTACAGTTGGGTCGGTGCACCATTCCAAGCTGCCGCTGCCGGTCTGCTCGCGAAGCTAAGGTACTGCTGGCCTTACCCGCTACCCACAGCTGACACTGATATCATGCTGGCTGCTCAGCTGCCCGCGAAGTAGCCAGCCGCAATGCACACAAGTCAAGCAGCTCTGCTGTCAGTCAGCTTCGCGTAAGACCTCTTGGACTGCTCGGGAGACTGACAGCTGCTAACGGGGCTGCGCCTGGCGCTTCTGCTCCGTGATTCATCCTCAGGACTCGAGCTCGGCGACTAGGGACGCCTGTCAAGTGCCTCCAGATTGTCTCCGGGTGCCCCCGGTCCAGTTGGGATGCGCTGGGGACAACTATCAGTTGCCTACAGGTGCGCCTAGCTTCATCCAATCCCTCCTCGCACCTAGGGACGAGCTAAGGATCTAAGATGGCTGCCTAGTAACCATGGATTCCCCGGAAGCCTGCGTTCTCCGTTCGCTACTGAAGAGTCGAGCTAGGAAGCTTGTGACGAAGCACGCGCACTACTGGCCACTGTCCTTTTCTCAGAAGTCCAGCTGGTCTTCCGGAAGCTGTCAAGCGCTTATGGATGCGACCGCGCATCTCTATTTCCTGCACGCTCCGGGAGTCCCGCTACACCGCCTGAAGCGTTTGCCCAAGGCTGACGAATACACGCGGGTACATCTGGCCCATGTAGCCCATCTCCCCATGGTCCACCTCGTCGCCTCCTCAGACACGCATCCCAACTGCTCCAGATGGCTGGCGGGTGTCTGCGGATGCGCCTGGGTACTTCTCGTCTCCACAAAGCTATGCTATGGGACGGGCGAAGGGCATCTACTCTGATGACTTTACACTCCTGGGGGCCAGACTAGGCCGCCCGGGACGCCTGGTGGGAGTTCGGACACCCAGCGTTCTGTCCTAATGCCACTGGTCCAGGGAGTGCTGACTCAGGTGCCTGCATGTGTGCCCGGACGCCCAGGCCTCTGTCCACTCGCAGACATCGAGCTAGGCTGCTGAAGACTCGGATCGGAAGACACTTCCACTCCTGTTCGTGCTTCACCGGGCCACCCACGTGCCTCCCGGCCGCACTGGGAACAACTCCGACGGCCGTCATAAGGAGCGGCCCTAGCAGTGCTGTCTCGCTCCATCTACTGGGCTTGATCGCTCTGCACCGCCTTCTTGATAGAAGAGGTTGGTCGGTATCCTACCGAGCACCGTCGTATTCCCGGTCTTGACAGCTCTTGTCGCCCACACGCGGCGCATCACTCGCATATTGCGCTGTTCTCAGCCTGTGACGATCCACAGCCTAGTATCACTCAGCCCGAGCGCAGCTTTCGCCCTCGGACATATACGTTGGCGGACGCACTGTGGTGAAACCCGCCAGTCTGGTAACATACGAGACGATCCACCTACCTTTGGTAGTCCATGTTGATCCTGACTGGAGCCGGCCGCCTGGACGCTGCAGTTGTTGCCTGCCGCCCCACCCGTTCCCTCCGCTGCGCCGATTTGGTTTTCCGCGCCTTTGCCGGGCACTGGCGTATGACTACAGCCCGTGCTCAATGTCGTAGCTGGCCGACGCGCTGCTTGGCGGTGGTCTACTGCGATGCGATGTCAGCGGCGGCTGCCGCGTCCACCACCTTCAGTGTGCTTGTCTCCGCGACGCCCGCTATCGGCTGTTCCATGTGGTGCTGCCTTACAAGGGCTTAGCTAAGCAGGCAGGGACAAAGTCCCACCATTGCCGGGGTCAATATTTCTCGTTGAAGATAAAAAGGAGAGCTTGTGAGGAAAGTATGTGAGGACTATCGTATGGGGTTTTAAATTCGGAACGCGTTTGGCATTGGGTTAGGACCTTAGGGATTGCAAGGTTGACTTGCGGCGGCTGCCGATAGGTGGCCGGCCAGCTAGGTATCACATGACTTCGAAGAATGCAGCAACTTGATAATCCATGGTGTGAGCTGTGGCTGATGACCGTGCGCTCCGCCCAGTGTCCAGGTCCGCTACGGCGCTGGGACCATGCGGTGCGTGATAAGTGGGCTGTTGAGGCCTCCGCCGACACAGAGCCCGTCGTCACCTGCGCAGTATTCCGCGCACCTTGTTCAGTGCTGTGCTGTGACCTTCGGCTCTCAGTGATCCATGTCCGCCGCCGGCTGGTTAGGCTGCGACTCGGCGCTGGTCCACAATTGACAGACCAGCACCGGACGGGTCCGACCAGCCTACCTACCGCTGCGACTTGCGCAGTTTACCCTCGATCCTCGGGGCTCGCGTCGCCTATTCTGAGACTGCGGAGCGCGCAGCTCATTGCCGGACGCGATGCAGCTGCGCGCTGGGTCGGTCCTCGCTAGTTTTTGGCCACGGTCAGTTCCGCTGGCTGGAGGCAGCACTGGCGCTCACGTGGTTAACGCGTGCATCCCGGCACACACGACTGGCCGCATCCGCTGCGAGATGTGCGCGCTAGTGCGCAGTCGCGCCTCGGACCGGGTCCCGCCGCGGTCAGTGAGCGAGGCCGTAGAGGTCCTGCCGAGAACGCCGCCATCGCGCCGGACATGGATCACCGAGACAGGTCCCGTCTGTGCCGAGTGGGCGTGCCGCGTCATGTGTCGCCTTCCAGTCGGGCATATTCAGCCGCTGCGCCTCCGTTCCTCCTTCCTCGCCGCTTAAAGATGGTAGTTAGCTTCGCCTTGTATTTGCCAGGAGCAGGTCGCGTAACGCGGCGGACGGACTTCCCCCACGGCGCTGAAGCGCGTGCCGAATGGCAGCAGGCACGGATCGAGGGGCCGACGCTCCGCTCCCGTCCCGTCCCAGGTGGGCACGTCACGAGTCTAGAGCACAGGCGTGCGACATCCCGCACAACCGCGCACTCGCGGGCGAGGAGGAGGGAGCGTTGATTGTAACCAGCGCCTTTGACACGGACAGGAACAAGTTGTGTCCAGACGTCTCAGCCGCTCCGTCCTCCCTGTATCGGTGATCACACACCACCCACGGTGCTCCGCCTTGGGTGAGCGACTTCCCACAGGTTTCACGAGCTGCAACCATCTTCAGGACACCGGGCCGCAGACACAACCAGAATGACCTTCGAGTGTTGACTCGGGTTTCTTAAAATCTTGTCCATTCACACACCTCTGTGAGGAGGAGGGAGTGACCCATCCAAGCGCCTCTCTGACGAGGTCGCGCCACGTTCCGCAGCCCATCCAACTCACTCCGTCCTCCTCATGCGAGGAACCAACCCGAAACTTCCACCTCACCGCCGTCCCATCCCACAGTCCCCCAAGAAGCGCTACATGTTGCAATATACTGAGCTTGCTGCTTGATATGCATTGCGACACCTGGCCAACTTGTATGAACCGTCCACGTTCCAATCTGATGAGCATCTCCCCATTCTGAAGCAAAACCGCCGTATCTCCCCGCAACCTCAACGTCAAATTATCCTCAGTCGCCTACGCGCAGATTCTCTCCATGCCTCCAAAACTTCCCTCACAATCTGCAAAAGGGGACGCAGAATACTGGTGGGGATAATTCAACACTTCCTCC